AGCGGTGAGCGCATAGCTTCCTTTTGCGCGCATCAACAACCCTGAGGACGGACGATTCGGTGTATTCGTCCTGGCGCATTATTATATTTTCTATATCCGTGAGTACTGGCGGCCAACGTTTTGACCTTTCGATCCAATTGAACGTCTCAGACCGCAATAGGTAATACTTATATCTCGCAATGCGATCACACTGAATGATTTTTAATATTGCAAGCAAGGGGCGCGGTATAAGAGGCGTGTAGCGGGGTACGTGAGTAGCCCTTGGCGACTTGCGTGTCCTCTAATACATTATTCTCGCCGACTACACCCACACATATACATTCTGCATTTTTTCCTTTTTTTCCATTTTTCCCAAACCCCACCGGAAGTATCACTTACTTTTTGCACCCAACTATTAATACTTGTCTTACTTTTCAACTATTTCTTTATTATTTCAACTATTTCTTTATTATTTTAACTATTTCTTTATTATTTTAACTATTTCTTTATTATTTCAACTATTAACTGACTTTTTCTATTTTTTATGACCGAATCTCTGTTTAGTTTTAATTTTAGAATTTAAAACTACTGAGCTAGGTGCAGGTCTAGGAGAAGCGGCCCCCCACCATGTCCTCCCTCCCTCCGAGGGAGGGAGGACATGGTGGGGGGCCGCTTCTCTTAGCAAACATCCAATAGCCCAAGTTTAATAATCTTTTTGTTAAATTTATAAATAAAATTTCTTTCCTGATTTTATTTATTTCTTCTGCTCAGTGTTTCTGTTAAAACCACGAAAATATTTTATAATAATATTTTAGTATTTTATAACGCAGAGGTAATGAGTTCAAGTCTATGGAGAAGCGGCCCCCCACCATGTCTTCTTAAGGAGGACTTGGTGGGGAGCCGCTTCTCTTTCTTATACCCTCTGCTGAAGGTAACTTTCGCTAACAAAAGCATCAAAAAAATTCATTTTAGATAGTTAAACAAATTAATTTTACAATAAATATTTTTAAGCTAAATTAGCTTAAATATTTGAAACTAAATTAACATAAATATTTAAAACTAAATTAACCTAAATATTTAAAACTACAACCTTTACTTTCTAATTTAAAAAAACCAAATTCCAAACAGTTTATGCAACTACATATAATTTCAATAAAAAATTGCATCTCAGCAATAAAAATTAAAAGTCTCGAAAGTTTAAAAAAATATATTGAGTGCAAAATATGAGTAAAGTATAATGTAACGCCTGTTGGGCACGCGGCGTGTTTCGAAACTCCACACACACACACATGCATACACATATTTCCGATCGTTATCTCGTGTGGATCGACGATCGCGGATCTTTCAGAAACAATAACGATCCTGTGTGTCAGGGCAAACCCCGTTGGGTGCACGCAGTAAGGCCCGGGCGATGACAGGAAAAGAGAGACGGAGAAAAGGGCCCCGGGGCCCAGAAACGCCCCCTTCCAACATTAAATGCCGTATTAATGCCCGCCACGCTCGCCTTATACGCTTTTACCGGGCGGATCTCTCTCTACTTTACTTTCCTTTCCATTCCATTCTTTTTTGCATCATCACGTGTATTATTCTAGCACATTCTGCACACACATATAAACACCATAAATATATTTTCAAAAAAGTTTTTCGCTTTCTTAATTCATAAATTCCGTCCCTCATTCTCGCTTTTTCTCTCTTCGTTTTTAGGAATGCAATTTATCTCTTTATCGTATAGGAATCGCCAAACGGAGTCTCTCTCTCTCTCCTGCAGAGTCCCACAAAAGTACCAAACAAACTTACGCCGTCAATTTGTATTTTATGGGTCATCATTAATTATATTGTTTTTGTATGAGGCGCGCTCTTTTCCCTCCTTTATTTTTCTATATGCTAAAAATTCCCGTCTTTAATATAATAATCTTTGTTGCCATCTCAAAAATTCAGTGTGATTGCAATATATAAATAAACGTTAAACTAAGATCGCGATTATATCACTCGCAAAAAATTGATTTGAAGTAAGCAAATTTTATACTTGAATCGAGTAAATAAGTAATGCAATTATTTTCCTGGGTGTAAACAAACATTTAGTTAATTTTATGCAATCAACTAACTTTTTCTCTATATAGCCAGGAAAATATTTTATTTGAATCAAATATATTTATTGAATAATTCAAAAACAATCCCATTTTCCGCCTGGAATCCCCGGAAAATGGAAAAAAAATCCTCCTTTAATTTACGAGGAAAAATAACAATATGGCAATCATTGATGCATTTAGGATCTATAAAATGCAAAATGACAGTATACATGTATATACGTGCGCGCACTGGCCAGTAACGTAATGTTTACAATAACCAATGATTATTCAAATTCTTCGAATATACCCTTGGGAAATAAAGATAGATAACGGTATGCAAAAATGCCAGTTTGCAATATAATTCGCGTACAGACAATAATAGTAGTATATGAACAAAATATCATCCCACTATTATATATTTGAAAATAATAACGTCAAATTGTTAAGCAGTAGCCTATTCTTGAAAAATATTGCACGAATAAGAAAATTTCTTTATATATATTATTCTATCATTATATTCCACTGTCCGCAGTGTAATTTTTTTTTTTTTTTGAAAAAATACAAAGTATTATCATACACATTACTTATGTATATGTACGTAATCCTATTATTCATCGAACGTGTTTACAATATCAATTGTTTCTCGCACTATACGTGTGTGCTAATTCACTTCTTTTCAAAAAATATTCTCTAAATCTGAATAATAATGTAGAATCGCCTACTTAATTTAGCGAGTACAAGAATGCAAAAATGAAATAATTAAATGAATTTAAACATTTATTTATTCGATTGTTCAAGTAAATATTGTGTAGAATTTTACGAAGTTATTTTTTCATAGACATTAATATTAATTATATATTATTAATATTAATGTATAATTAATTAATATTAATCATATATCATTGATCTTAATTATTAATTAACTAATTAATTAATAATTAAGATCAACAGGGTTGCCACAAAATATTAATTTTGTTTTTCCCTGACTTTTCCCTGATTTCCAGACTTTTTCCTGACTGATTTTGCCCTTTTCCCTGACCCTAAAGAATATTCTGATTTACTCTAAAAATTATTAGATTACTCAAAAAAATATTATATTACATTTATACTCACGAATTTCTTAAATTGTAAAATTATTCGCAAACAATAACTAAATTTTTAAATAAGTATTTAATTATTATTTTTACATATAGGAATTAAAATTCTTCAAAGCATTATCAAATTCAAACATTTTTAAAATTCAACAACTTATAAGAATATTATTATAAAACATGAAGATATCAAAAACTCCGAGTCGAAAACTCAGAGTAATTAATATCTCTCATGTTTTATAAAAATTTAAATTTCCATAGAATTTTTCAAAAAAGAATTAAATTATTTAGAAAGATTATAATAAAATTCGCTGCAAGAATTCAATTATTTTCATAAATAATGAAAGTCTTCACCGGGTTTCAATTATTTTTAATACAATTTTAAATAAATTTCTCGAAAAATAAAATTATCTTCGAAAATTTTTTGCAAGAATTAAATTACATTTCACAAATAATAAAATTCTTCGCTGAAATTCAAAAATTTTCAAAATCAACTATTGTAATAAAAGTTTTCAAAAGAATTTAATTATTTAAATAAAATGTAATAAAATTCGTTGCAGGAATTCAATTATTTTTATAAGTGTAATAACATTTTCCACAAGAATTCAATTATTTAAAAAAAATTGATAAAATTCGTTGTAATAATTCCATTATTTTAATAAATTATAACATTTTTCTGAGGATTTCAATTATTTATAATACAATTTAAAGAAAATTCCTAGAAAAATGGAATTATTTTTATAAATTTTTTGCAAGAATTTAATTACATTTCACGATTATAATGAAATTATCTTCGTTGAAATTCAAACATTTTTAAAATCTACTATTTTTATGAAAGTTCTCAAAAGAATTCAATTATTTAAAAAAAATGTAATAAAATTCGTTGTAGGAATTCAATTATTTTCATAAATAATAAGATTCTTTAAATTATTTCAATTATTTAAAAAAAATTTTTAAATATTTTAGTGCAAGAATTCAATTACTTTCATAAATAATAAAACTCATTGCAGGATTTCAATTATTTTTAATACAATTTTAAGTAAATTCTTCGAAAAATGTAATTATTTTCAAAAAATTTTATTAAAATTCTTCGAAAAAATTCAATTATCAATTATTTTTGAAAATTCATGCTATAATGCTTTTAATATTCAATTATTATCTAAAATTTTAAATGATATTTATTTTTAAATCAATTTTAATTAGAAAACTCTACGAGAATTCAATTATTTAAATAAAAAAATAAATAATATATTGAATAAATGAATGTTTCTCGAAATTGAATTATCATAAAGAATTTTATCAACAAAATTGAATTTTTTCGAGGAATTCAATTAAAATTTTCAAGAATAATTAAATTTTCTGAGGAATTGAATTAAAATTGTATTAAAAATAATTGAAATTCTATGATCAGTTTTATTATTTTCGAAAATAATTGAATTTTTAAAAAAAAATGTTATTATTTATTAAAATAACTGAATTATTGCGAAGAAATTTATAAAAAATTTATAAATAGTTGAATTCCTGTGAAATTTTTATTATTTATAAAAATAATTTATTGTTTGCTTAGAATTTTATCAACATTTTCTTTTTAAATAATTGGATTTTTTTTTTAAAGATTTGATTAAAATAGTAGATATTGAAAATCATTGAATTGAGGAAAATGTTTTGAAAATACTTGAAATTTTGCAAAGAATTTTATTAAAATTTTTGAAAATAATTGAAATTTGGAGAAGAATTTTTTTATTTTTAAAGATAATTGAATTTTGACGAGAATTTATAAAAATGTTTAAACATAATAAATAAAATAACAATTTAGTAATAAATAAAAGTAATTTAATAAATACTAAAATTTTTCAAATAGGAAAATTTCTCCGACCCTCCGAGCGTGAGTTCCATAAGTCGACTACTTCGTGGTGGAAGACCGGGAGAAGATGGAAAGAAGGATTACACCATCGATGGAATTCTCGGAGGTGGTAAGTACATTTTATCAATTTCAAATATTATTTTCTAATTACAAAAGGCTATCGACCTCTCGCATCCTCTATTCTTATCCTTCTTTGTAAATAAACAGTTGCAAAATATAATAAAATAAGAATTATCTAAATAATGAATACGCACAGTTTTTCTAAGGATGTCAAATTGAGACAAAAAACGTATAAAAATTGTTGCGAAGCAACAAAACAGTATCAAACATTTGTAAAATATAACAAAATCGGAACTTAGTAAACAATGAAAAGAAGATCTGGTAGAGAAACTCCAAACCGGACTTGGCTAATTATAAAAAATTAAAAGCTAACTATAACCACAAAAATAAAGAACCAAAGAATAATTCTCACCACTTACAAGAATTCTAAAACACAGTTCCAAAATGGGGTCACTTGTCACATGATTCCTATATAAGGTCCCATCTCTCTCACTCTCCTCGTTAATAGTGATTTTGATGATATTGAAATTGCGCCACTCGCTCGCGAGTTGGTACTTGCATTCAAGATTCTCTGCATTAAGCTCAGCGGGGTTGCTGACTAGCACATTTCTGGATGACGATGCTTTGAGAGGTGATATTTGCTCTCTACTCTGCGGGCACCTCTAATTGATTACACGCATCTTTTCACGCGATCTATTCGGCCAATCGAGTGTGCCTTTCAAAACTTGAGTGCCTCATTGATTGTGCCTATCAACGGTAAACTTATAAAAAGTTGAAGAAGAATCAAGATCGGCAGCAATATATTATATCGCAATCAAAGGATATTCGCTATTATGAATCGCGCATACAATTCAGTTACATAATAACTGAATAATTATAGTGAAAAGAAAGTCATTTCTTTTCCCCCACTCAATTATTCTTCGCATCTAATACTGTCCTCAAATTTAAATAATGTCACTTAATGATTTCTAAAAGTTTACTAAAAACAGGACCCAAGCGAGAATGTCACACTACCAGAGTTTTTAACTTATTGATCAGAATAATGATCTAATACTATAAAATCGAAGAATTCTTAAAATACTTTTTATAAAACAATGCTTTACAACTTTTTTTGGCCAAATCCTCAAAACTAATAAATTTTCACCAAACAGTCAAATGCATTTCCAAAAATAAAAGGATCCAAATAAAAAATATAAAGATGATTTTTCCATCAATAGAAGAACCTCCCGAATAAAAATACCTTCTCCATCACACAATATATATACAATTCGTCAGATAAATGTCAGTGCCTGAATAGTGCACTTGTATACTTATCGATATCATATGCCAAGAAGAAGAAGAAGAAGAAGTGTTCGCGACGGATCGATACAATCAATAATCCCGATTGTGAATCACTTAGTGGTCATCGGCTGTTAGAATTGTACTCTAAAAATAAGTGTGTGAGAGTGGCTTTCTTAACGAATTGTATGCATGTGAGTATTAAATCCAGATGTAGGAATATACATGCATACAGGTGAGAAAGAGAAAAAGGGTCAAGTTGTAGGGCGAGAGGAAGAGAGAAGGATTGAGTAGTGAGATGAAGAAAGGGGGATCGCGGCAGGACCCATTAGGCTAATCCCTCGTCGGCGGTCCAAGCCAAAGGAAAGGGAATAAGAAGGAATAAGAAAGCCACAGGCTACGTGTCATTCCTTCTCGCTCGCCGACACCACCTATACAGAACAGACACTTTCCGCTATATATATACACATATATACCTTGATACGACATTATTTCTCACCAGAGGTGCTCTTACTATCATCAATTTTTTTTTCTTGATAAATAAATGTACTGTTTACGTATTTACTAAAATTAGATCCAATTTATCTATTTACTAAAATTAGATCTAGTTTTAATACGTATTTACTAAAATTAGAACCAATTTATCTATTTACTAAAATTAGATCTAATTTTAATATACTGTTTTATACCTATGAACCAAAATTAAATCTAATTGGATTAGGATGCTGCTGAGGTAACTAATTCATAAGCAAAAACCAGCTATACTAATTCACTTCCTATAGTCCACATTTCAATGTGCGGACAATAATAATTCAATGATTGAAATGAAAGTCTATAATTAAATCGCACATAAAAAAGCAATCATATGTATCAATCAAAAGCGAACAAATATCGTACCATTCAATCGTAATTGGTACCTATCTACAATGTACTTAATACTCCTAGTCATTTATAATACGGTCGCTAACGACAAAATGCTATTTCTATTAGCAACAAACAAATAAGTTGTTATTACAAAATATCAATACATTCAGAAGTAATTTCTTGATAAGAATAGTCATCAAGGTTTGCCACAAAAATTTAATTTTCATTTTCCCTGATTTCTAGCCAAATTTTGACTTTTTCCCTGACCCTAAAAGAAATTTCGATTATTCGGAAATTCTTCAATTAAATATACATTAGAAAATAAAAACTTGAAATAATTTTTAAAATTTTCGATTAAGCTTTTTAAAAAAATTAGTTCCATAGAATTTTTATAATTAAAAGTATGAAAAAATTCAACTTTTCAAATATATTTTAATTTGAAACTTTTACAAAATTCAGAATTAGTTCCAAAAATTCCAATTATTAGTAACTTCTCAAAAATTCAATTATTATCTAAAACTTTAGCTGAAATTAATTTTTAAATCAATTTATATTAAAACATTTTATTTAAATACAAACATAGATAATTTATTGAGTAATTAAATGCTTCTTAAAATTCAATTCTTGTACATAATTTTATCAACAAATTTTTAAATAATTGAATTCTTTCGACGAATTTTAATAACATTTTTAAGAATAATTATATCTTTCAAGGAATTCGATTAAAATTGTATTAAAATTGAAATTCTGCAATAAGTTTTATTATTTATGAAAATAATTGAATTATTGCGAAGAATTTTTTAAAAAAAAGTTTCAAACATTTGATTTTTTCGAAAAAATTTATGCAATTCTATTTTTAATAATTGAATTCCTGTGAAGTTATCATTATTTTATAAAATAATTGAATAGAAATTGGTCAAAATTGTTTTTTAACATAATTGAATTTGGGAAATTTTATTAAAATAGTATAGAATATTGAAAATCATTGAATCAAGAAAAATTTTTGAAAATAATTGAAATTTTGCAATGAATTTTATTAAAATTATTAAAAATAATTGAATTTTATTACTTTTTAAAAAAAATTAAATTCTTGTGATGGATATTGTTATTTATAAAAATATTTAAATCCCTGAAGATAATTGTAAAACATTTAAATTTTTCGAAAAAATTTATGCTAAAATTCTATTTTAAATAATTGAATTCCTGTAAAATTTTTTATTTGTTTGGAAAATAATTGAATACCTATTCGTGTATAGAATATTATTAAAATTTTTGTTAAATAATTGAATTCGTTTGGGATATTTTATTAAAATATTAGAATATTTAAAATCATTGAATTAAGAAAAATTTTGAAAATAATTGAAATTTTCCCATGAATTTTATTAAAATTTTCGAAAATAATTGAATTTTTGCCATGAATTTTATTAAAATTTTTGAAAGTAATTGAAATTTTGCCATGAATTTAATTAAAATTTTCGAAAATAATTGAATTTTTGCCATGAATTTTATTAAAATGTTTGAAAATAATTGAATTTCTGCAAAGAATTTTATTAATTTTGAAAATAATTGAATTCTTGAGATTAATATTATTGCGTTATCTATGAAAATAATTGAATTTTTTAATGAATTTTATAAAAGTTTCCGAATATAATTGAATTTTGGAGAAGAATTTTTCTAATTTGTGAAGATGATTAAAATATTGACGAGAATTAAAAAAAAAAATTTTGAAAATAATTGAATTTCCGGAAAGAATTTTAATATTTATTAAGATAGTTGAATTCTTTCGAAGAATTGCGTTAAAATTTTTAAAATCGAAACTAATTTTAACAGAATTGAATGAAAAATTTTTCAAAAAAATAAACTGTAAAAAATTTAGGGAGTTAACGGACTCGGGAGTTAAATTTTTCGAGTTAAAAATCAACTCCAAAAGAGAGTTAATTTCTAACTCCCTTCATTCAACACCCGCGCGAATTATTTTTTCTTTGAGGAGTTAGCATTTAGGTGTGAAGTTTTAACTCTCTTTATTTAACTCCCCTGGCATTAACTCCCCAATGGGTGCGACTTTTATAGAATCCCCCGGGGAGTTAAAATTTAACTCCCTTTTTTTACAGTGTAGGTACTTCATGAAATGATTTATAATACACTGTAAAAAATTTAGGGAGTTAACGGACTCGGGAGTTGGGAGTTAAATTTTTCGAGTTAAAAATCAACTCCAAAAGAGAGTTAATTTCTAACTCCCTTCATTCAACACCCGCGCGAGTTATTTTTTCCATGGGGAGTTAGCATTTGGGTGTTAAATTTTAACTCTCTTTATTTAACTCCCCTGGCATTAACTCTCCAATGGGTGCGACTTTTATAGACTCCCCTGGGGAGTTAAAATTTAACTCCATTTTTTTACAGTGTAAGTAATAACTTTATGTCTGTTCTTCAATTAGAATTAATTTATTTAAAATTTCAATTCTTGTCAGAAATAGAAGAAATTTAAGGGTTTTCCAGAAATTCAGAATTTTCTTATAAATTCTAAACATTTAATTTTTTCCAGTACTTTTAATAAAAATCCCTGAGTTTTTCTTGATTTCCCCTCGGATTTCCCTGACCTGTGGCAACCCTGATAGTACACTGTAAAAAATTTAGAGAGTTGACGGTCACTGGAGTTGGGAGTGAAATTTTACAAGTTAAAAATCAACTCCAAAAGGGAGTTAATTTCATAATTATTAAATTATTAAATAACTTAATAATTATTAAATTAACTCCCTTTTGGAGTTGATCCTTATTTTTACTGTGTAAATTTTAACTCCCTTCATTCAACTCCCTTCGCTTTAACTCCCAAATGGGTGCGACTTTTATAGAATCCCCTGGGGAGTCAAAATTTAACTCCCTTTTTTACAGTGGTATTTCTCTGACCAA